TGTCATTCGTTATGACCTAAATCCTCACATCTTCAATGTTATTTGTGCTGATTGCTTCACACAAATATAAATCTTAATAAATAAAAATTGCAGGATGAAACGTTTAAATGATTTCTCCTAAATTGAAGCCAAATAATAGGATAGCTTAGGAAGTCACCGAAGTTCTCCTTCGAATCCGTGACATCCTCTAGTATTTCCTCCTTTGGACTCCAAAATAAAATGTTCCAAATTTGAACCAATCCCCCTTCACACTTCTTAATCCGATATCTTTGAGATGTCCTTACCATTGGAATTCCTTGAAGATAATTTTTCCTTGATTTCTATCGAGAGTATTCTTAGGTAACTTCAGTTATCTAAGATGTAATTAAATATAGGGGCTTGCCCCTATAGGAAGCTTTTCCCGAACCCAGCATAATATAAACCCTATTTAATTCCTTGCGCAATCCAGTCCCATGATGAAAGCTCGCGCCATGTGCCTATAATTCGATCTTCACGCACCACGGTAGGGATCGAACCCTTGCCAGAGGACACTTATGGTGACCCTGCCTACCAACTGGACAAGGAATGTGACATATGTGTGTGTGTGCGCGCGGGCGCCCAAGCTCAATTAATTATTCACTCAAAATATTAATAATTAAATCCTTATGTAAATTTTTGCCCAACCCTCCTCCCGTGCAAATAAATAAAGTAGTTTATCAGCTATAAACTATTTTACAAATTATAAAAAAAAAATTTTAAATATTTTTAATAATTCTATATTTAAAATTTTCACAATATATTTGATGTACTATACATATAAATATATATTTTAAAATAAATCAATATATAAATTGATGAGCCAAATCAAAGCTGACTCATCAACCAAACAAATCTAATTCATAAATTACATATGAATTCAACTAATTTACATTTCAATTCAAAATTGTCCCTTTCAAGTGAGCATTAAGTGCCAAATGTTGAATCCTGGTCATGTGACTTGTCAGAGCTTTATGGCAACACATTTGAATATAATGCAAGAAAAAAGGGGGGTCCTAATTAATTAACATGGGATGGAAATGGGTGAGGCATATTGTAGATTATTCACTCACTTTTTGTCAAAAAACTATGTAAAAATCATGTTCTCAATTAATGCAAATTTAATGTTCAACAGTTTTTTACAAAAATACCAATTATTAAAAATTTTTACTGCTGTTACCAATATTCATACATTATTTCATAATTAGTGTAAATTTAAAATCATGACTAATTAAAGTATAATTATAAATATTATCCTTCTCTTTTAGTCACATTAGATAATTTTTTTGTTGAGAAATTAGAACAAAGAAAAATTAGGAATCGACACAAATCCAGATGAACATACAGAGATTTATGAGGTTCAGCAAAGATACCTACATCCTCGGGAGCAGAGTGGCGATTCCCTTTTTAATATTCAGAAAAGAGTACAAAATATAAGATTCAAAATCTCAGGGATTCCGAGATTTTGAATCTTGTATTCTGTACTCTTTTCTGAATATTGAAAAGTGAGTCGCCGCTCTGCTCCGGAAGATGTAGGCATATTTGTCGAACCTCGTAAATCTCTGTATGTTCTTCTGGATTTGTGTCGATTCCTGGTTTTTCTTCACCCTTATTTCTCAACAATTTTCAACTTACAAAAACAATTTTTTATTTTATTTTATTTACCATTGATTCATACAGCCACACAAGAAGAGGCTGCAATTGCTTATGACAAAGCAGCCATTGAATATCGTGGTCTCAACGCAGTCACCAATTTCAAACTCAGCCACTACATAAAATGTATTCCTCCCAACTCTGAAAACAACATGGATAAAACAATTCATGAACAACAGAATGAAGCTGAATCATCCTTGCCGGCCATTAATCTCCTGCTTCAATCATCGAAGTTGAAGGAGATGTTCGAGAGAAGAACGATGACGGCCGAGCTGCCATCTTCTTCGCCAGAATGTTCGGATGGCAGACAGTCGTCTCGATGCAGCTTTCCGGAAGATATTCAGACTTACTTTGAGTGCAATGACAATGGAAGTTTTGTTGAGGGAGATGGCACAATATTTGGAGAGATTAATGCATTTGGAGCTCCCATTTTTCCATGTGGGCTTGACTTATGATCCTTGGTATCTTTATTATTTAGATTAGATATTGAATCTTTTGTTTTGTTTTCATTTTAATATATTATAGTAGTTTTTTTTCTTCTTTGATTTTAATTTGATAGGCATTTTTTTTGTTT